TTAAAAAAGCGGTCAGCCAAGCAACAGCCTAACATAAGCGGAGGGATACACCGGAAATTTTCTAAATTTCTTCCGGTTTAAGGACGCTTGTTATTGTTTACATTAGACCACCCATCCATAGTTCGTTGCGATCGCGAATAGTTTTTTTAGCAGTATTTACTTAGAAACCTCTAAACGACAAGGCTCCCAGCTAAGCTACTATAAGCATACTGCAAGTAAGCTAAAAGCAAATTCATAATATATTTAATGTTAATCGATTTCAACACCGCCAGCGTAGCAGAAAGAGGTAGTCTAAAGCAAATACAGTAAATATTAAATAAAATTCAAAATCAACAACTGTCATACACAAACATAACTCATGTCGTAATCAATTTAAACTTGCTGAAACAAACAATGTGTCAGCTAATATTATTTTAAATAATTCTGGTTTATTCTGAAATTTTGTTTTTAATACATTTTATATAAAAAATGGGTGACGTCGCATTGGCTCTTCGAAATTCTTCTAAAGGGCAATTAAAATACGACAGATTCTGGGTAGAAGAAGGCCGTACAAAAGTGAGTGTTTGATGTGTGTACAATATTCTTATTGTATTGTATTGCTAATTATTTCACGATTCATTATTAAGAAGGGCCACTGCCCGGAAGTTTCCGAGACTTGGTGGTTATTCTGCTACAGTTAAATCTCCCAGTTAACAAAATAAAATTTTCAGATGCGCAATATTATTTTTATTTGTATAGATATGCATTCTTCAATACTGATTGAAATTTTGATAATAGAGAAAATAAACAATATGCGCCATATTAAAGTTTCTTTCATTCAAACATCGCACACGTATCTTTATAATAATAAATATAAAGTTTTATTTATATTTTATTTATTTGAATATTAAACTGTTTCGAAATAATCTTCATACATAAATAAATTTAGATGTAGGATTATTCAATATGTCGGGTTACTTAAAGAGAAAATTAATTGCGTTTTTTGGTTTATTGTATATAATACTACCTATTTCACTTTGTAGTGAACTCTAAATTTTGTAAGTCTGTAAAAATATCATAAAATCTCATTTTTTCCTTTTATTCACAATATTTTTTTGTAAAATAAAATGCAAGGACAACAAGCATCGTATCAATAGTAAAAAACTAGCTAGAGCATTTCTTATGCAACAATAAAGAACAAAATGTGTTTACTGAGTAATAGTACTTAATAGGCTTTTAGCAACTGTATAGATAACATTCCTGAGGATGTTCCAAAGACATGCCATAATAATTTTGATCCTCTGCAGAGGGGATGGTTCCCCAGCTGTAATAGATGAGCTGCAGGTAAACCAGACATCCCTTTGTGAGCTGATCAAAGTATTTACCCAACGGCAGCCAAAGGTGCTTCATAAGCATTTTATATCATCAATCCAGTGTGGGACTATGCTTAATAAAGTATATGAGAATGTATTTTTCACGTGCTTAAGTAAAAATTTCACTAGACTCATTCGTTATTGAATATAATTAAAATAGTAATAGAATTTTATAACTTAAGAATAGAAGGAATTGAAGAAAACATGCATCTTAAGAAGTAAAAAATTGTCATTTGGCTGAATCCTTTAAACAAAGTTATGGTGCTCTACTTATTTAAGAACCTTTAACCAATTGGTAAACAAAAGTCCTTTTGAAAAAGGTAAGTAACTACGGACTCAGAGGTGTTTTTTTGTAAGTTTGAGGAATGATAAAAAAGCATGGATTTTGAGAAAATATATAAAAAAATTTTTTTTGCAAACTAACTTAAATTAAAAATGATTTTCATAATGTTTCAAAAAGTTCTATTTGCTTAACCTTTAAAAAATAATCAGGTTTTTAATATAAGTTTTGAATCCCCATGCATAATTGTGTCAATTTGTGTTTTCAGGAAGTGTTAGATGGCATATCAAAGTACTCAACAAAAATATCAGTGTCTATCAGCCCTGGTATATTTCCTGCTATTATTTCTGAAAATGCTACCCAAGTTTCAAAAGTGAAAACTGAAGTACCTTCTTCTAACTCTAAACAGGATAGCACTAAAGAAAAACCAAAGCCTATTCATAGTATGACAGATGTACACTTTTTTGAATTGCAGTCTGAAATGGAACAACCTATTCAAGAATATGAAGAGGAAAGACAACGTTATATACATCTTTTCATTGATGATTTTATCATCTGCCACGGCGAATATAATTTTTCGAGAGTTTGATATCCATTCTTTTACATAAACACAAGTTCCAAAGAAAAATATGGCTTTGATCAGATCGTAAAGACACGGTTCCCAGTTGAATACTGAAGTCAAGCATCACTGGCCGCTCCCAGTAAACGGGTGGGCGACCTCTTTGCTGTAGCAAGTAAATTTAGTTATTACATTTATTTATTTAAAAAAAGAAATAACTGCAATCTAAACCCATAATAAATAATTAAAAAAAAAACAGTTGAATTAACTCAGTCACTTTTCATTGATGATTTTATCATCTGCCATGGCGAATATAATTTTTCGAGAGTTTGATCTCCATTCTTTTACATAAACACAAGTTCCAAAGAAAAATATGGCTTTGATCAGATCGTAAAGACACGGTTCCCAGTTGAATACTGAAGTCAAGCATCACTGGCCGCTCCCAGTAAACGGGTGGGTCACCTCTTTGATAAGCTTGTGTAGGGACCGAGATTGTTGTGTGGTATAGATCCTCGTGCTCCGTCGTAAAGTGCTCGACTTCTCACACAGATCGTCGGGCTACCGGAGCGGAGGAGCTATCACTTCTGCAGAGGATCAAAATTGTGATGGCATGTCTCTGTATCTTCCTGAGGTATGTTTCCCAGACCTTCATCAATTTGCGATCGCAACACTTGAGTACGCCCTCTAGCGGAAGCCTGGAAATATAGGGCATTAATTCCATCATGACCATTGGCAATGACGGACGCCATTTTCTTAGCAAAATTTCCCCAAGGAAAAGGTAGAAGAACTTGAAAAAACTAACCAGAACATGCCAAACATTGAAGCAGAACACGTCAAGCATTTGAAGAACAATTCCTCAATAATTTTTACCTTTCTATTACCAACAACATAACTTCCGATTTCATGATAACTTGCTGTTACAGATGTTTGTATTATGGTAAAATAATTTTTTCTATCTTCAATTCATTACAAATTAAAGTAAAGTCAACACTGCTTTCGTCATTCCAATGAATTAAGTGACTTCAGAAGGTACAGAACTGTAGTAGTTATAGAATATTCTTCTTCTTTATAGAATAGTATATATTTCTGTATCTATATAATACGGAAAACAACAATAAAGAATCATCCGAACTACTTGAAATAGTTTCATTTGTGCAGATTATTAATAATTTTTATCGTTTTCTTGGTAAGTATTTTTTTAGTTTTGAAAGAATAATTTCAACTAGAATTCAACTATTCTGTTTTTAAACTGCATATTCAAATTCATATCGAGATCCTACAATTATAAAATTTTGCTGTATGGTATGTTATCTA